CACGGACTCACTCAGCTCCTCAGCAGACATCTCAGTGGGTGGAAGAGTGCGGACACAGAATCACGGAACAGTTTGGGTTGGAAGGCGCCTTTAAAGGGCATCCAGTCCAACCCCCCTGCCATGAGCAGGGACATCTTCAACTACATCAGGTTGCTCAGAGCCCCGTCCAAGCTGGCATGCCTGGGTGTTTGGGGTCAAGGCCGGCCAGGGCAGCCAGCCCGGCCGCAGTGGGGCAGAGGAACTACTCTGCCCTCGGCTGTTTTGGGCAGCTCCAGGCAGCAGCCCTGCCTGCTGCATAAACCAGCCCCGCAGATTAAACTGATGTGGGAAAGAAGGAAGCTGACGGCCCCTAGTTCCTCTAAAGAGTAGGGACTACTCTGCACGTGGAACTCGCTCTAGAAGCTAATACTTGTCTGGCAATGCTGCTGTTTCTCCTTTAAAGAATTTTTGGCTAAGCAGCTGTTTGGGGTGGAGTTACTGCAAGGGAGGCTTTCAGTTTCGTTTTTTTTTCCCTCTCTGCTCTTAGAAGAAAGGATACCCAGCAGAATAAAAAGAAAAATCATGACAGACGAGAGCAGGCTCTGCAATAACTGGTAAGAGATCTTTCTCCCTCTCCACCCCTACAAAGTGTGGGGATTTCAAGAGTTTTCTAGGATTTTCCTGAATGTTATCTAGGTCTCCTGAAACAGGGGGAGAAGAGGAGGAACCTCACAACAGGAGGCGTGTATGCTAGCCACTGAGCAGTAACAAAAATATTTTGTACACATTTTCACATTTCCAGGTTGCTGCTTTCTTGCTACTCGCTGTGGAAAGGTTTCTTCCATGGCCCTCTCCTATGCTGCATGTTCTCTTTTTACATAACATATTATGGGTAATTTTGCAGTGTCTGGCAGAGCAGTCAGTGCATGGACCATGCCAAACCCAGCAGCTGCCTGTTTTACCCCACGGCTGATGTTTCTTTCTGTTGCTATATTTGCAGTTAAGTGATAAAATACTAATCTTTTCACAGTAGTTGGCCATCTCTCATAGAACAGAAGGCTGGAAGGGGCCGTGAAGATAGCATAGCTTGGTGTGTCTCAGCTAGTAGCTAGGCCATTGGGCAAATTATATGCACAAAGACTGTGAAGCACTGCAATTAAAAAAAAAAAAAAGGTCAAACATAGAAAGGTTAAACATGAGCTTAGCCTCAATTTTATTTGGTCACAAAGGAAACCCAGTGGTTGGCCATGCATACAGAGAGCCTGTGCGTTATGTTCTAAAAGGCGTTAGCAGATGCTTTGAATAAAGCAGTTGCTGCGCGCTGATCAGACTCCTTGGCAGACCTACCTTGCCCAAAATTTCTGATAGATGCCTCTAACCAATTCTTAAAAACTGGTGCCAGAGCTGACACATTCCCACAGGAAATCCATCCCATTGCTTATCCATGATGATCATGAGAAGCTTCTCCTCATATCCAAAGCAGATTTCCTTGAGGCAACTTACCTTCTCTAAGAAAATGAGAAGAGTTCACTGCCCCAGGCCTTTTTTGCTGTGGCTGCTCTGTCTTGGGGCTGGGCTGTTCATAATTTATGTGGCCTCATCATGGCCATTCCCTCCACATTGAGCAATCAGAAAATATGTTGGGCAAACTGGTTCTGTGGCCCAGATATGATGTCAGAGTTTGGAACAAAGGCTAGTGCAGAAAGCCCAGATGGCATCATCTGTTCTGCCTCACACATCTCCTCAAAGTAGCAGAGCTGGATGCGTACATGCCCTTTCAGACAGTCTTCCTATTCTTGTAGGCCAGAAGGGTTGCATGGGCTTACCTCCAGCTGCCACGTCCTGATGGCCATCGCTCTCTTGTGTCAGGCATCAGTACCGCCTGCCGCAGGGTTCTGGGCCCGCTGCAGGAAAGGCTTTGAAATGACAGGGATACACCTCACCTCCTGTTGCCTGGCGCACTAGGGTCTCTGAGCCTGAAGTGAGGGCACTGAGGCAGACATCCTAAGATGGGTCCCATGGGATTAAGGTCAAGCCCTGATGGCAGAGGAGGTCAGAAAATCAGCTGGTGTGCACATCAGTCATCCCAAAGCTGTTTCAAAGGGATCAATGGAAGTTTTATGCTGCTTAAGGTTTGCACCTAGAAGTTTCTTCAGGAGGTTTTACCCAAGCCCTGTTGAACTGTATTTCAGTTCTTGTCACTAATATTGTGAACACATCCAGTCTCTAAATGTCTCATTAAGATGAACTGGAAAGGCAAATACTTTTTTCTAGTTTTTAGGGACAAAGTAGTTGAATTGTAACCAGTTGTACTGGGTCTGGCTGGGATGGAGTTAATTCTCTTCATAGCAGCCCCTACAGTGCTGATAACATATCAGTGTTTTGGCTTTCACTGAACAGTGCTTGCACAGTGTCAAAATTTTTTCTTTATCCCCCACTCTGCCCCCTCCCCTCGCCGTGATGAAGCTGGGGATGAGCAAGAGTTTGGGAGGGGACACAGCTGGGACAGCTGACCCAAACTGACCAAAGAGTTATTCCATGCTGTATGACCTCATGCTCAGGAATAAAAACTGCATCAAAGGAAGAAGTTGGGGTTGGGTTCTTTGTTTGGTTGGTTTTTTGCTTCCAAGGTGGCTATTGTTCAAAGACCTGTTGGGCATAGGTATGCCTGTGGGAGGTGGTGAGTGATGCCATTGGCTTCACTTGTTTCCCCCGCCTCGTTCCTTCAAGTATTAAACTGCCTTTATCTCAACCTATGGATTTCCTCACTTCCGCTTTCCCTCCCCTGTCCCACTGTGCATGTGGTGGGGTGATGGTGAGCGAGCAGCTGTGTGGCTGCAGGCCAGGATCAGCCCAGCACACCAGTTCACTTACTCTTCTCTCTTTCCCAATTATGTGCTGGGTAGTAAACGAGATGTGTCTACTGCCAACTTCTCCCTCCACGAGGCCCACTGCTTGCGGTTTCTCACTCTCTGCCCAGAATGCGATGAACCAGTTGCCCAAAAGGATATGAAAGACCATCAAACAGAAGCACACAAGCAGGTGAGGAATGCTACACGTTCTTCAGGGTTTTCTTGCAAATAACAAAAAGCTCTGCCAGCCCTGAAGTAGTATGCTCATGGTACTGTGCTCTATGTTAAGGAGATTGGAACTTCTGTAATTTTTGACCAGAAAATCTGTAAGGGTCTGATATGACCCTTCAGGCCTGGTTACAGCACCTTTTGATCTTACTGCACACTTAGCTTCAGAGAATAAAGCTTCCACTGTGGTATCTCAGTTTCCCCAAGAAATACAAATTACAGATCAGGTATGGATACATGCTTCTAGTATGCTTGTGAATTAACTGGAGCATGCAAGTTAAATGACTTGATTAGAGGAAGACTGACAGTATCTGATCTGACATAAACCTTGCTATGACATCAATGCACTTTTTTTAACAAAACTGAACTGTCAGAACAAATTTGTCAGCTCTTCATATACTGAGGCATAGCATTTTAGTATAGCATTAAGAACCCTGTAGTAGAAGAACTATGTTGAAGCATGAATGCACAGGCATGACTTTTTATTCTGACTAGTTTTATTGTTTTAGCAATTCCATTGGTTTCAGTTACTTAACATGAGTAGCTCTCGTGGCAAACCTATAGAAAACTAGCATCCCTCATGTTTTCAGCGGGGCTATTATAATTTAGACTAGCTGAAGATCAGACCTATACTTTTAAGTTAAACCCCAGTCAAACTTTTGAATACACACTGTTCACATTTCACATGGTGTCCTGGTTTTGGCTGGGATAGAGTTAATATTCTTCACAGTAGCTAGGGTAGTGCTGTGTTTTGGATTTAGTACCAGAAGAATGTTGATAACACACTGATGTTTTTAGTTGTTGCCAAGTAGTGCTGAGACTACTCAAGGACTTTTTGAGCTTCTCCTGCTCAGCCAGGTGCATAACAAGCTGGGAGTACAGCACAGCTAGGACAGCTAACCCAAACTGACCAAAGAGCTATTCCAGGCCATAGAACGTCATGCTCCGGGGGGGGGTTAGTCGATTGGTCGGTTGTGGGGAGACTGATCGCAGTTCGGGGAGTGATCGCGGCTTGGGACGGGCTGGGCATCGGTCGGCAGGTGGTGAGCAATTGCATTGTGCATCATTAGTTTTGTATATTCTGTTATCATTCTCATTATTACTATTATTATTATTTTCTCTTCTTAAACTGTCTTTATCTCAGCCCTCGGCTCTAACCTTTTATTTTCTTTCCGATTCTCTCCCCCATCCCACTGAGGGAGGGGGGGAGTGAGCGAGCAGCTGCGTGGTGCTTAGTTGCCAGCCGGGTTAAACCACGACACATGGCCACCTTTGAGAACTCGATCCTCGCACAGAATGACAGCTTCCTGCAGAATCATCAGATACCTGTTTTCCTCAAAATTTCATCAGTGCAGCTCAGGCCTGGCAGAGAAACAAAAATTCACCAACAGCTTGTTGATGATTGGGATGAAAATGACAGGAAGATCATCTCAGCTCAGCAGCTTGAAGGTGTATTGATATGTGAAAGCACTAACTGTCCTCCTATGCTCCCAATGAACTGCTGTATGTTTTGCTTGCAGGTCAGATGTAATCTTTGTCACCAAAGCATGCAGCAATACCAGTTGGAGCATCATGAGGTAAGTATGGAGTGCAGTACTTTTTATCTTCTAGGCTGACCCCTTTGACCAGCCACCAAGAGTCACCCTAATGGGTTCAACAGCAAAAACGTGTAAATCCCTGACTCCTGTCCTGGACCATGAAGAAACTTAAACCTCTCAACAGTTGCAGTGTTTTGGCATACTTTTTCCCCCTTGCAAATAAGTATATCCCATGGCAGTTGCCCATCCAGTTGTGATGGGACAGTCTGTTCCAAGAGATAATCTATTACTTTTTCATCCTTGGCACCTCAAGCTGATGTTCTTTGAGGGCTTCTCAAAGACATTTCTGTCCTGCCCCCCCCAGTCATATTACTTGCTTTTCCAAAGGAGTGGTTATATGAAGCGAGAGTCAAGGAAACAGCTAAGGAGGAGATACACAAAAGAATTGGCAGCGGCTGGGAAGTGAGAGCAGCCTGTCCATGCTAGCTGTAGTCTAACCATTTCAAGGAACCAAAGCAGTGAAGACACAGCAGGCTTCCCATGGTGGTGGTAGCTGAAGTACTGGGTGGGCTTGTGCTCTGTTGCTGACCTGTACCGACACAGAACACCTTCACTGCTATTGATTCCCATTTTGCCTTGCTGAAATGATCCTAAATTAAAGATAGCCTAGATATGTGAACTGCTAATACGGCTAAGCCTGCATTTGGTTGTGTAGATACCCCCTAAGGATGGCTTTATTAAACAGTCACTCATTGCTCTCACCCAATGCCCTCTTTTAGTATTGATAGAAAATTTGCAGTGATTTCCTCTATTCATGTACAGACCAAGGAATGTCACAAACGAGCAATGAAATGCAAGATCTGTGAGCTTGAAATGCCCTTCAACAAGCTGCAGGAACACCTGAACGCCTGTGCCAGCCGAACAGAGTGGTGTTGGGAGTGTAACAAATACGTCATGTACAAAGACCAGAACAAACACAAAGATATTTGTCAGAACAGTAGTCTGCCCTATCATAAGGATGTGGACTTTCAAACCAGCGAAGCATCTACTAGTGCCACAGTTATTGGCCCCTCTGGTAAGCAAAATTCCTCATTGTCATGGACTGGGTCAACTCTGTTAAATCCCAGTGAAAGTTCTCCTGCCTTCTCTACAATTCTCAGTAATCCAGGCTGGAGGGGATTGTTGTTTAACCAACCACAGTGTAAGGGCCAAGTGTTGCTTTCATTATGCTAGTTATTGTAAAGCCAGAGTGGTTCCACTGACTGGTAGCTCACTGGCCATGTTCTTTTATGCCTCCCTTATATCCTGGAAGTGAAATTCTTTCTGTCAGAAAATAAGCGGAACTTCTTCCTCTTTCTGTTTGTCACACAGGAGAAAATATGATTTAGAATTTCCTCCTACTTCATGTATAAAGCCAGTGATGCATACCTTGATTTCTTGAAGTTGAGAGCAGCTTTGTTAGGCCTAAGGTATCGGACAGAGTATGCCAAAACAAAAAAAAAAAAAAATCATTAATCCTGTCAATGATTCCAGAAAAGAACAGCCATCAGTAGGTGCAGTGGTTGGCAAAATAAACTACGGAGAGCAAAACTCCCTAGCAACAGAACTAGCTAGGCCAGAGTAAGAGTGAGGCATCTTGAGCCACAAAACATGGGGCTGGAGTGGAATTTCAAATATCCTGATGTTTGCAGGAAGGGATGGTGGATTGGTTTTGAGTGGTGCCAGAAGCAAAATGCATCCACATCTCTAATTTCTTCTTGGCCAGTGGAATCAGCATTCTGTATTTCTCTAGAACCAGTTACCATAAGTGGACCTGAGCAGGCTAAGTGACCAATGTCAGTACTGTGCTTCTCTCCATTTTTTTTTTTCCTTTTGAAGGTACCGGTGGCAATCTTTGTCAGAAGTGCAATAAGTCATTCCCAGATGAGCAGTACTCCCAACATCTGGTAAGCACATTTGAAACTGAACAAGAGAATGGTCTGTGCTTAATTTCCAGGCAGGTTATTTCTCTAAAATCTATGTATTTGGTAAGAAAGGGCAGTGTGTCTTGGCTCTTCAAACTATGGTTTCATGATACAGTGTATTCTGCTGAAGCATCCCTGTGAGGTGGTGTCCACTGTCCCTCCCCGTGATTCATGTCTGTCGCAAATCACAACATATGACGCAGTTGGGCGTAATGCCAATCTTCACCTCATTATGCATGCTCTCTTTTAACAGAACAAATGCAGTGCAGCCCATAAGCTGACAAAAGTTCTTGCTGGCCAGTCAACTTCAAAACTCAGCAGTGATCCACCACAGTCTTCTTCCTCCCCAGCTACCTCTTCCTGCTCCAAAAATGCAACGGCATGGAAAGATGTCCGTCCCAAAGGGAAAGAAAGGGACCAGCCATTGACCTCCAAAACCTTGCTTAAACCCCCAAAGAACAAAAAGATTGGCTTTTCCTCTCCCACAAGAGGCGGACTTTCCACATCACCTCAAGCTCTTAAAGACACGCAGTCTTTTGACATGCTGGTCACCTGTGCCCATTGCAACATTCTTCTGCCGCTTCCAACCCTTCGGAAACATGAGGTGAGAAGTGACACATTGGACTCAGCCTCGTACATGCAGAGGGCCATACCTACAGTCACTACTTATCTCCACACTGCCTGGGCTCCCAGTGCCCATTTCTGGATTCCATAGCTTCTTGAAATGCTGGCCGTAGGTAAACTCTCTCTGTAAAGCATGGAGTTTGTTATTTCCTTTGACTGTTTATGCTTATATCTACACAAACAAGATCCATTGCCTATAGTCTGCTTGAGTTTTAGGAAAATAATAACCATAACTCAAGCCATTAATTTTAAGCTCAAATCCTGGAAAGTCTTCAGCAACTGCCCTTATTTGCTGAAGGCTGATATTGCTCCTGCTAAGCAAATAGTATGATTATATCTCAGTTGCATCAGAGATGGAGCTCTAGATAATTTCCCATCCCAACAAAGGGGCCCAGTTGCCTCCCTACTGAGTTTGATTTCATGTTGAATATAATGTTAAATTATCATCTGATATGACCATTACTTATTTTTCTAGATCAAATGTCTACGTTTGACATCTTTGAAAAATGCTAGGATGAAACAAAAATCAAGCCACGGAAAAAGAGGTACTGCAGAATTTCAGAAATTTAGAATAGAATTCATCATTCAGGATTATTCTACAGTGGGTTAATAGGAACAATGGGATATTTTGCAGAGGAAGTGTGTCTAGAAAGTTAATACTCAGAATATCACAGGCCTCTCTAGATTCCAACACACAGTGGGTTCCCATGAGGTTGCATTAAGCAAGCATTGCTTCAGGGCCAGCATGTTTTCACTCTCGTGACTCAGTAACACGTATTGTGCCTCTCAAATTATGCTACTGTGAACAGTGCGGTACCTTCCCTACTGTAAGCAGGGAGCAGCACAGATTTCACAGAACAGATGTTCTGTCCCAGGTCCGTCTGTGCCAACACCCAGTGGAGGCTTAAAGAATAGTTTCAGAAGACAAGAAGTAAAATTATTTTTTCTCCATAGTAAAAATTGCATATTCAGTAGAAGCATCGATATAATTATGCCAGACAATACCTCCAGCTGAGCTTGCACTGATCTGTAGGCAGCAAGTCAGTCTCTCTCCTCACCCTGTCCCAGACAGACTGTGGATCTTAACACTTCTCTCTTTGCTAACATCCCTCTCTACTTTTCAGTCCCTAAGCAGTATCATTTCCTCTCGGTCCAATTAATTAAGTGAAACTGAAAGCAGTTGTTCTCAGTCTGTCTTTTTCCTACTTGGTTGAGGAAATGAGGTATTACTTCTCCCTGTAAAACTTTCCTCTCCTGGTAAATTAAAGAGAGAAAGCACCAAAGTGAGAAATAGGGGGTTTGTCTAGTTTTGAATTACAGGGCTCTGGTCTTGAACTAAAAGTAAGTACATGGTAATTACATGGATTATTTGACTTGCATTGTGGGTTTTTTATATTGTTCAACTGAGTGATGACATAGGAAGGCTGTAAAACTGAAAGCTTAAAAACACCCATAACTGGGCTTTCTTTGTTTTGCAGACTCTTTCTACAGCACTGACGACTAAATCTGGAAATAGAGGCACATCTTCAGATTTAGCTCAGCTTTAGCAAAAGGCACCGAAAGTGTGCTAGCTTTATCAACAAATAAAAGTGACTTGCTACTCTGGATCAAGAACAAAGACTGACTCGGATTTTTATTCCTTATCAAGAGAGGCATTTAAAAGGTTTCACCAGAAAACTGTGAAAGTGATGGGGGCTCAGCAGCTGTGCGATTTCAAGTGTTCCTACGTAAGCTTGCCTTAGGAGTGCACTTTTCCCACCCACTTCAGCAAGAAGAGCAGCTTATTTAAAAATGTTCTGGGGGAGAGAAATAAGGAAATAAGGAATTCAGAATTCCTTGTCATGTTGAGTGCCACCAGTTCCCCTTGCCCTCACTGAGACCTGAGACCTTAGTGGTTTTCAGGGCATGGCCTGGTGAAATTAAAAACCATTAAATCCTGGTCTCCTTCACTTCAGTGAACCACTGAAGCTAGGGCTAGCACAAACAGCCCAGTCTTCGGAGATTGCAGGCACATCCAAGGATAACTGAGGGTGTTCATCTTCTGATATACAAATGGAAACTGTCCTGGTTTCAGCTGGGATAGAGTTAATTTTCTTCATAGTAGCTAGCATAGTGCTGTGTTTTGGATTTAGTACCAGAAGAATGTTGATAACACACTGATGTTTTCAGCTGTTGCCAAGTAGTGCTCAGACCACTCAAGGACTTTTTGAGCTTCTCCTGCTCAGCCAGGTGCATAACAAGCTGGGAGGGAGCACAGCTAGGACAGCTAACCTGAACTGACCAGAGGGCTATTCCAGACCATAGAACGTCATGCTCGGGGGGGTTAGTTAGGTCGGTCGTTCGATCGGTCGGTCGCGGGCGGTGTGGTCGCAGCTCGGGCGGTGTGATCGTGGCTCGGGGGGAGTGATCGCTGCTCGGGACGGGCTGGGCACCGGTCGGCGGGTGGTGAGCAATTGCAATGTGCATCATTCGTTTTGTATATTCTGTATATTCTGTTATCATTCTCATTATTACTATTATTATTATTTTCTCTTATTAAACTGTCTTTATCTCAGCCCTCGGCTCTAACCTTTTATTTTCTTTCCGATTCTCTCCCCCATCCCACTGAGGGAGGGGGGGGAGTGAGCGAGCAGCTGCGTGGTGCTGAGTTGCCAGCCGGGTTAAACCACGACAAAACTGATGGAGCTCAGTGGTGGAAAAGTTAAACATGAAGAGTGAGTAGACGGTTGGACTTCATGATGTGCCAATGGACATTTACAAGAGTAGATCCTTCCATCCTCATAACCGCTGGGCTAGTGCTGGCACTGCGAGTGGGACAGCGTCTGGTCATCTGGCCTGACGTGTGTTAGTGACTTCTGAGGCTCCCTTAACCTTTGCAGCATAAGGACTGTTTGCAACAATCAACGGCTTTTCCTACAGGCGTTCAGACCTTATTAATCTGAATCTGAAGCTCTACCACTCAAAGGCCAAGAGTGCATAACTTCACTCCCTGTCTGTCCCGGATGTTTTGCTGATCAGTCCACTGAATTGCATTGGCAAGCTGGCAGGAGTACTCTGACTACATTTAAGGGGGGATTTTCAAACGCAGTCTAAGACAGCGCTCTCACTGTGGTTTATTTGTTCTGAACTTCTGGTAAGCAGGTGTAACACTGAACGTGGTGCTATGAAACAGAATTTTTGATATTTGGGGGCAGAGGAGAGGGCTGTGAAAGCATACCCGTTAAAGCCGTATCACTCAAGGCATAAATTTATCCTCTTTTATTCTGCACTCATTAGACTTTCACACAGTTTAATGTTCTTGTTACTCTTTGATACAAATCACAGCAATGGACTTGATGGGTCTCCACGCAAGCATAAGCACTCTCACTCTGTTGTGTATGTTGGGGTCTGTACAGGTTCCATCAAAGCTGGAGCTCTTTTTTTTATTGTTCTTCAAGTCCATAGTGAATGAGTAAAACAAATTTGGAGACAAACTGGGCAGGCAGCTTATGCTCCACAATCTAAATCTTTACACAGAGAAAGACAGGAAAACATTTTCATCCCTTTTGAAAAGGAACTTTGAAAGCTTTGCTGCCCAAATGCAAAGGAAGAGGCTTTGCACCTAGGAACAGCCCAGTTTACCAGATGGGACAGCAAATGGGCAGGAGCAGGCAGGTGAGGAGATGGTGCTCGCACCAGCCCTGCTACCACAGGACAGCGGCGGACTCACGCCACGCTCCGTCATGGGTTACCCCTGCAGTACAGGACAGACAGGGGGTCACGTCTCGTTCTGCGAGACAGGAACCAGAACGGCCGTGTCTGAAAAGCGTCACAAAACTTACATTAGAGCTCAAGACCAGCTTTATCCTTATGACCCTTTTTTGGGGGTGGGGAGAAGACCTAGCTTATTAGAGAAGCAGTATTTCCTCTCTAAAAAGTGCAGCAGGGCTTATTTCAGAAATCGATGCTGCGCTGCCATCGTGTGGCTGTTGGTGGAACAGGCATGAGCTGAACCACACATGAGCTAAACTGTGTCATGGCTGGAGGCCTTAGAGGGAGGAGGAGAACCAGGCGCTGCCTCGCCGGCCCGTCCTGCCCCCGGCTGCACAGCAGCGCTTCTGGCTGCTCCATCGCTCCGAGGCTACGCAGACTTTGGCACTGTTGCCATTCAGTAACTAATAACTTCAGGCTTCCAGACAGGTTAAGGACAACAGCATCTGCATAGAGACCAGCAAGCTGTGTGTCCAAGGACTGGAGACTCCTAAAGGCCCCCTGTGGCATCATGCTTTGGTGCCCTGCCTGCAGGTGTGAGAGCTACGGGCTAGGAGTTTGTCTCAGCAAGAAGAGAGCCACTTGTGAGCCCCCAGGCAATAGGAGCCTAATGAAAATACCTCTCTGAAGGATCTTGACAACACCTGAGAACAATCTGACTCCTCCCTTCTCCCAAGGTGAGGAAATGGCTGTTACAGCTATGTGAAATGTTACCCTGATCCTGGAGCTGCTGTGCTTACCCCATCCAGCAAGGTGACCCCGTTCCCAAGCTCAGTGAGCCCCTGGGGGACATGACAAGGCTATTCATTTTTGCAGAATTACCTCTTTCTAAATTGCTGAGCTCGGACCTGTTCATTTCCAGAGACACAGGACCGTATGAAAGCAGCAGTTGCCTGCACTTATTGCAAACCTGAGGTCTGAGGGTCCATACGGGATATGGATAGGGTAGCACAAAGTTAAGGGTGAGAAGCAAGCTTCCTTTCTCTCCTGCTCTTTGGTTTCAAAATTCCCCAGATCTGTGTTCCAGTTTGGTGTGAAAGTGGAAATAGCTTTGGTCACTAGATGGCAGTAAAAAACCAATGTGCTCTTCCCTGTTCAACAGGGAAAGTTTGTAAGAGCTTGGACTAGATTTGCCCTGGGAGAAAGAACTGGAAGATACCAGAGAAACCACGAAAACAAGTGTGCAATCATTCTGCTTGGTAATAAGGATTTGTTTTGTTACTGTCTGCTTCTTAAAAAACATTAGATAGGTTATATTTGCCAAGCAGAGAATTATTGTCAGATGAGAAGTGTAATTCTGAGTAAGAAAAGGAAGCTCAGCCTCACCAGGACAGGTACTTGGAGAATATGGCATCATACTCCTGAAACACTGCTGGTGTTTCAAATACACTGGGATTTCAGTGTTCAACCTGAAGCTTAAGACGCATTTTGATTCTTTAGCAGTGGCACGAGGCAATCCATTTCTGTGACCCTCCTTCCCTGGTAAAAGCTTAACTACATGCCTCTCCATACATTTTTTTTTTAAACAATCTTCTGTCACAGTGAAAACTTTAATACAAATCTCTGAGATACCAGAGTGAAGCACGCCTTGCTTTTGTGCATTTCCTAGGTGCTGTGTGCTGGTGACTTCTCTTCCACTACGCTGTGTGCATCTTAATTCTGCTTGAAGGTTAATCTCATTTGAAGGCAGGAGTTTTGTGTGTACAAAAAATTGCAAAGCCAGCTGGCATATCCTACTCCCATATACTGTTGTGATCCGCAAGCAGTGTTGTGGGAAGCAGAAGGAACTAAATGAAGAAATTAAACTGACAATATATCCTGCAGTGAGCTGATGGGGAGAAGCTGAATGACCTATTTTTGGATTTGCCCACTGCTGCTTCCCAGTGGTTCTATCACAAAGGACAGTGTGGGATCTCAGTACTTATTGCTGTCTTCTATGGGATGTGGGTTTTCAAAAACCCAGAGAGTAAAAGTCTTCTGTTAAGAGCCCACACAAGGCCCCCATACCACTTCAGCATGTTTAGAGAAAAAATAAGCAGCATATTTTTTACAAACCATACCCGACAGTGTAACTTGCATAATACCTCATGACAGGCAGCTCTTAATTTGCTTGGATTGAGTCACATGGGGATAAAACTTGGCAGAAACTTGAACCTGGCTACTTTTTTGATTATTTAGAAAAATCCCACAAAACTAATCAAGCTATTAGATAGATGACTGGGACTGGTCATCTCCTGTGGTATATGAACATTTTCCCCAGCAATTCAGAAAGAAATGCAATAAAAGTGCAAGTAAGCCGTGGGGGAGAGTGAGTGTTGAAGGTAGATGAATTGGGTGACTGCCATAACTTCGGAGCGCTGTATCTCTGGTTTCAGAAAGGCCCATTTCCCACCGTCCGCAGGCCTGGGTGCTGTCTCTGCTGGATGTGTGCAGAAGTGGTGCAGCTACTTAGATCAGTTCTTGTTAGCAGCTGTCAAGCACAATCTTGTTCACTGGAAGACAGAAGAACACGTTAAAAGGACAGCAGCCTTATATATAGCTGTGCCTCCTCATGTGTCACGCCACTTCCTTCTTGAAGCATTGCTGGCAGATTCCTCCTTGGATTTAATGCAAACTTCATTGGAGGCCCTTACGAGGTGCAGATAGGGAGCAGGTTGATAAACGTGCCAGTCAGTCAGGCCAACAGCTTGGTTTTAAAAGAAAATTTCAGTAACATTTTTTTGGCTTTGCAAAAATGTGGCATTTCATTTCTACACCAAATTTAGGCTCTTGGTCTGTGAGGTGCTGTGCACACAGTTTAACGGGTTGTGCCTTTTGTCAGCTTTCTGCATTCAGTATTTGCTTGTGGTGGCTCCAGCTGAGCAAGGGATTCCCTTCACACAACTCAGGAGCATTGGTTTATGCTCACAGACGCCTGCAAATTAAGGACAAACGTCAGAAGGGGAATAACCACCATAAATGTTCTATGTGGGCATCATAGCAGAAGCAGGTTTTCAGAAAGGACTTAAATACAGTTGGAGCAGAGGTTTTATAGAGAAGTTGTGGGAGGGGCAAGTTAAATCATGCCTGAAGAGTCACACCAAAATGAACGTGCCAGAATCTGGAGAGGGTCTCATTTTCCTAAATATTTCTTACACAGAGTGTGGACAGTCAGACAACCCTTGCAATTTCTTTTTCTTCTTAATGAAAAACAGACACGTAGTTTTCATTTTTGGGACCCTTGAAGCAGGCAGTGGCTGTGGGCGGGATGCTGATGCAGCAGTGCAGGGCAGAGAGGGCTGGAGACTCCCCACAGGTGGCTCTGATGGACAGAGGTGAGTTTGGGGTCACAGCACCCATTGACACCCACCACCACTGGCATTTTTGGAGCA